CCCCAAAACCCCAAAACCCCAAAACCCCAAAACCCCACCAGTTGAAATTGGAAAATTATATTGAAATAAAATAATATGTGATTTATTCTGGATTTACCATTAAAGCATTTATATTTAGGAATGTAATACTAATTCTATTCAATACTTATTCAGATTGCTACTTCTTCCTTCAAGTAAACTCTACCTATGTATATGTGATAATTCACTGGCAGCAGCTGCATTCATTGAATTACTCTTCAATATTCTTGCTTCATTTTCAGCAAGTCTCTTAATTTGTCTTTATTTGTACATCTTAAATCCAAGCAAAGCAGCTAGCACCATAAGCAAAACCACAATAATGATCAGAATTATCATATATATCCTATAACTTTTTACTGGCTCGACATAACCCCCAGAATTTAGATGCAGTCCTAACCCAATCTTGTTGTTTTCAAAATCTAAAACAGTATAGAATAATCTCATGAACACATGACCAAGAATGAAAGTATTCTACTAAGTTACATATTAATTTGTTGTAAGACCTAATATACATTATGAAGAGTTTTCTCTATCTTAGATAAGATATTCTTAAGCTGGAATTCCAAACATATTAAAGTCATCAAGTTACAACCTAATCGGATCCAATCTTTTAGCGAATGACTCACAGGGTCGATGTATCTTGCAGATCTCGTCTAGACATTTTACATTCTCATCTATCTTTTTAATCATTCCAAGAAAAACTTAGAATGTCTTATTTGGCATTATAATGTAAGGTTAGGCAGAGTCTAATATACTAAGAGTGAGGAATGAATTATAGAATGAAAAGCCACCATAATAAATCTCTTGTATTTCAAATTACCATTAATTATCACTTATTGTTTTAATCCAATGAAGCCCATAGCCTTTCTATTAATCCCCTTGTAATAGCAAACTCTGATTATATCCGCCTATTTCAATTGTAGATTTAATGCTATCATTCCCTATCAGAAGGGATACTATTTTCTAATCAATCAATTACTTTTGCTTAAGCTGATAAATGAATTAATTCTCGTCATGCAATCTTGATGGAGCTAGACCAAGTATCGAATTTGTATGAAATTGCTAGAGAACTAAGTCATTAAATGTGTCAACTACTTCAAATTTAATTTGTTTAGCTTGTAACTATAATCCTTGGTCTATGCTAACATCATCGATAAAAGTCTTTGAATTAAATCTATACTTTCCAGAGGACTTAATATGCTGATGCTCGTCTTCAGAGTCATGTGAAGTTGATGCTATTGGATCATATTAAGGCTCCTCAGGATTATTATAAGTGCAATTTAAGCAATCTTTACTCTTCACATACAAATAATTCTACAGCGTGGTGTCGAATGATATTTAGTTCTGGATATTCTCACTGCCTATTACAATTTAAGATAGATATTCATTCTAGCTTGAATACGATAAGTCAAATACAAAGCTTCTCTCTATGTCAATTAAAATGAATAATTACTTTGATTTTGAAGTTCCTCTGACTCTAATTACTTTTATCTAGAAACTAAATATTTATTATTATTTCAAATAGATTTTACTTTATTAAACTAACTCCTCATCAATTCCGTAAAAAGAGAATTAGGACTACCCAAGGCATATTTAGATTGCAAAAAATATAAGGAATTTATTTGAAATAAGTGTGTTGGAGGACATTAGACTTTAAATAATATTTTAAAAGGTATTCTAATTTATTTATTAATTACCAAATTAAATATATAACTCATGAGTTTACCAATGGGGTTTTGGGGTTTTGGGGTTTTGGGGTTTTGGGG